CGCCGCTTCTTTGCCACGCTCCGGCATCGCCATGTGATCACCAGCTAACAGCCTAAGCGTGAAGACTCGGGGGACTGTGTGATCGGGCTACCACGCTTTATTTTGCTCCGGGGCAAACAGCCACGCCTCCCCGCCACGTTATCTGGTCCATGTGACTGGGGCCATAATTGGGTTTACTTGCGTCCTTAATAAAGTTTATACCTCTGGTATCTAACGTTACATTTTATGGCACACCTGGCCCGGCCGAACAAAGTGACATTTACGTCAGACCCAGCCCTTGTAACAAATGAGTTTGACACCTCTGCTCTAGGGCACTGTACCTTACTGAGATCGATTTCACCCCCCAGGCTCCACCCCCAAATCTCCAGGACTTTCCCATCCTGGATCTGGCAACCCTAAGCCCCCATCCCCTGCCGGTGGCCAGAGGGGACCAATTCCTAGGTTGCTATGCGGAGACAGACAATGGCATACCACCTCTGTTTGCCTTGAAAACCTTATGAGGTCTCCATACGTCGGCTGTGACTTGACAGTGCTTTCGACCACTGTGCAGTGACAGAGATACATAAATATCCCTGCTGCTGTTTGTATGCTGCTTATGTTCCCCATAAAGAGAAGCAGCTATAGCATATTAAATATGGCATATTAAAAAGATAACCATACGGAGCAGAGGTCCATCAGTGGCTATTAGCCACAAGGTATAGATAGGAGCTTTCAGTCTGGGGCAAGTGATGCTCTGTATGCTTGGTGCTTGGGTGGTGGGGGCAACAGTGGGAGGGCTTCTGGAGTTCTGGCCCCGCTGCTGGACCTCCTGATGGCACCTGGTATTTCTGGCCACTGTGTGACAGAGTGTTGGACTGGATGGGCCATTGGCCTGATCCAACATTGGCGTCTCTTATGTTCTTATATGGAGCAGAGGCCCATCAGTGGCTATTAGCTACAAGGTGTAGATAGGAACTCTCGGTCTGGGGCAAGGGATGCTCTGTGTTCTTGGTGCTTGGGGGGGGCAACAGTGGGAGGGCTTCTAGTGTCCTGGCCCCGCTGCTGGACCTCCTCATTTGGCCACTGTGTGACACAGAGTGCTGGACTGGATGGGCCATTGGCCTGATCCAACCTTGGCTTCTCTTATGTTCTGATGTTCTTAAACGACCTGCAGATTGGGGTGATGAACTGTCTCCAGAAGGGTGCTGTCCTTTATCAGGACTGTCCACATTCAGCTAGTAAACAGCACAAAATACGCTTTCAATGCTAATTAGTATCCCACACGTTCTTTCTTATGGGTGTCATTATTGGTGCAATAAACAAAGCTGTCCTGCCTGCACTGTTGATACGGGGCGATTCTGCAAGGTGTGATCCAGATCACATGAGGCCCCGGCTATGCACTGTGACCCGTGGCTACCAACCATTGGTTCTGATACCAGCAACTACAGTTCCCAGGATTCTCTGGGGGATGCAATGTCAGTTGTGCCAGCATAAAATTAATATATACTGTGGCAGAATGGGCCTGCCTTGACCTGCAGGCTCTGTTCCAACCTGCCCTCCAAGGTTTTTCCCAACACCTGGAGAGGCTTTTCTTTCTGTCTCAGGTAACCACTGCCACCGTCTGATCTGTTGTACAAAATTAAATAAAATGGCATGAGATTCCATTTTCTAGGCTTACTCACTTAGGCAGAAAAGCAGTTCTACTAGAAAGAGACAGAGCACCAGAAAAATCTGGTAATGTTACTAGGAATAGCCACTTGCCAACTGCCTGCCTTCCCCCTGTCACCCCTTTTAAAATAGTGTGTCCAAGATGGTGGACATCTATGTGGTACAGAGAACCCCTACCAGCATCAGAAGTTATAAAGTATTTATTAAAAAGAACATGTTCACAAGCCTACTTTTACAACAGCACCAGATTGAGCACAGGATTCAAAAGAAATGAGCAAAATGCAAATCATCTTTCCCTCTCTCTATACATGCCCTATCAGAAGTTAAAATATAGGACAGGCTCCTTAGCTTAGGATGTTGTAGATCTCTACCGATTCTCCATTACCTTGCAGCTTCCTTCAGGCCAGCACATGGTTAATGGCTGCCTCCTCCAGACCTCAGTTAAGAGTTCTGTTTGTTCTGATGGACTCAGCACCAATGACCACTCTCCTTGCTTCCAGGAGCTTTATCACCTCTCTTTTCCCCACCCACTGACCAGGTCAGGCCGGGTCAGAGAAGCTTTTCCCAGAGATTCTTCAGGAATTCCTTCCTGAAGCCTTTCTAGTATTTAACACCTCCAGCTCTCTGTTCTCTGCTTGAAGGGGGGGCAGGTGACTGGACCCTCCTATTGTCTCTAGCTAGACAATATTAGTATTTCTTTAGCTGAGGTGAACCTGGAAAGCCATTGACTGACTTCCTCCTCCCTGCCTGTTCTCTGACCAGAGAGAAAAAATTTAAAACCTCCTGGTAAATGTTTTATTATTTATTTATTTGTATTGCACTTATATCCTACCCTACCCCATGGTGGGCTCACGGTGGCTTACAACATAAATAAAATACAATAAATATATAATTAAAACCAGTTAATTAAAACAAGATGGCAGCAAAAAAATACATTGTTCTACAGCAGTCCGATATGTCTCCTGTTAGACGTTACTCACATTAGACCTCTACCCAAAACAGGCATTTCTTCACATATACACTTGAGGAACCAGTAACCGTCCCCCACACACACCTTTACCTCTCTATGTACTTCTGAAATCCTGATTGGCTCTCACCAGGCTTCCTGATTGGCTGACAGGCTTATGAAAACTTCCTCATGTGTATTTATTTACTTCAATTTATACTCCACCTTTCTCTCCAGTTGAGATCCAAAGCAGCTTACAACATTCTCGCCTTCTCCATTTTATCCTCACAACGACCCTGTGAGGTAGGTTAGGCTGAGAGTGTGTGACTGGCACAAGGTCACCCGGCAAGCTCCCATGGCAGAGTGGGGATTCGACCCTGGGTCTCCCAGACCCTAGTCTGACACTCTAACCTCCCATTGGCATCTGTGGAATGCTGAATAAGATCTGAAGGAAACGGATAGGCAAAAAAACCTGTAGCAAGTATCCCAATTCCAGATAGTTCAAGGCAGGGGTCATTTTGTAGAAAAATCATTGGCATCTGTGGAATGCTGAACAAGATCTGAAGGAAACTGATAGGCAAAAAAACCTGTAGCAAGCAAGTACTCCAATTCCAGATAGCCCAGGGTAGATCCACCCACCCTCCAAAATTTCACAGATGAAGATAAGGACATACATATGGCATCTTTAGTCTCATATATGTACAATCAGTACTTAAACTTGCCTGCCACCCGCAATGTACATTGTCAAAGGCTCTGTTCCATATTCATCTCCTGCGTCCTTTGCTTTCCCTGCACCAAGCTGAGAGGGTTTGTTTGTTCACCAGTTTCAAAACATGCTAGAAAGTTATAATTATCCTACATCCTATCAGCAGTTCCAAATAGACCTCAGGAGCTGCTGTGGCGCCTCAGTATTCATGCACGTGCAATTAGGAGCATGCGCACTAGAGTAACGATGCCATCACTCCCTACTCAGATATCCAGCTTCTGGAGACATTGGGAGGTAGCTGAGAACCCTGGAGAATGGCAATTGGAGCAAACTGCACTAAAAAAAAAAGATTTAACGAGAGATTCTCCAAAGGCAATAAAGATAGGAACGAAACCAGGTGCCAGTTTGGTGTAGTTGGTTAACTTTGCAGACTCTAATCTGGGAGAACCGGGTTTGATTCCCTGCTCCTCCACTTGCACCTGCTGGATGACCTTGGGCAAGCCATAGATCTGTCAGAGCTGTTCTTGAAAAAGAGCAGTTTCTGTCAGAGTTCTCTCAGCCCCACCCACCTCACAGGGTGTCTGTTGTGGGGAGGGGAAGGGAAAGGAGTTTGTCAGCCACTCTGAGACTCCTTTGGGTAGTGAAGGGCGGGGTATAAATCCAATCTCCTCCTCTTCTTCTTCTACCTCACAGGGTGCCTGTGGTGGGGAGGGGAAGGGAAAGGAATTTGTAAGCCGCTCTGAGACTCCTTTGGGTAGTGAAGGGCGGGGTATAAACCCAATCTCTTCTTCTTCTTCTACCAGGGAGAGGTCAGGGTTGGGTAGACTTTTGGGGCCAGAGGGCTGCATCCAGGTCTCCACCCACTTTTGAGGGCCCCAAGATGGCCACTGGCTCTTCCTGGTTCCAGCACTGGTAGGCACCAGAAACAGGAAGAGAAGACAGCCAACTCAGAAAGGGAAATGGCAGCAAACAAGGGGGAGAGTGCCAGCAGTGTCCCAACTAGGGATGCCCGCCTCCAGGTGGGACCTGGGGATGTAATGACGTCACCAGGAAAACAGGTCACTGTTGTCTGGAGATCGATTATAATTCCGGTAGATCTCCAGGCCCCATCACTAGGTTGCCAACCTTAACGTGGTGGCTTTAAGCTGCAGCCTGTGTTTTCTGTCAGAGCTCTCTCAGCTCCACCTACCTCACAGGGTGTCTGTTGTGGGGAGGGGAAGGGAAAGGCGTTTGTCAGCCCCTCTGGGACTCCTTCAGGTAGTGAAGGGCGGGGTATAAATCCAATCTCTTCTTCTTCATCAGGAATATCAAAGGGATACATTGCTGAGAACAAAGCCATTTCTACAACTCTGGAAACGTGTCCCCTGTCCTGGCTCTGAAGTCAAAATATTGTTTTTCTGACAGCCAAACCTGTACCAATCAATGCTCCCTATAAGCTGTGCAGTCTTGTGAGCAAAAATTCTACTTTGTGGGCTACTGGCATTAAAGTTGTGAGTGAGCGGTTTGGCTGCTGCATGAATCAGTTTGCTCTGGAGCCATCCTTCCCGAACTAAGACAAAAATGCGTGAGCTGGGGGCTAAAAAGCTGTGAGCTAGCTCACACTAACTCAGCTTAGAGGGAACACTGGTACCAGTCCAGCTCTGGGACATGAGATGGAGTCTCAAAACAGTCCGTAATGTTCTCTTTCTCTTCTAATTCCAGTTCGGAATCATGCCAAAGTGAGACATTTCAGAATCTACAAGGACCCCGGGGGGAACTTGTACTTGGAAAAGGAACACACGTTTCCCAACCTGGAGCAGCTCCTGGCTTATTACACGGTCAACTGGAAAGCCATCCAGAGTCCCTTGCTTCATCCCTGCATCCAAAAGGTTAGTGTGGATGAGGAAAACGCCCATCCATCGTGTTCACTTGTCGTTTATCCTCGCAAATTAACAAACACCAGATCTGAAGTTTGGGGAGATTTGACTTTGAAGCTCCCAGTGATGAAATCCAGGTGTTTTTTGTTTTGCTGTGATACTTGTATTCTGGAGCCAGATTTGGGTTTGGAAACTGAACTCTGTTGACTGTGCTTTTTATGGCAACAATCCAGAGCTTAACTTTTAAATGGATGGGGTCACAAGTGGAGGGACTTCTGGATTTCTCAAAATTATGTTCTAGCAGGCTGTACTTAATTATGTTACAAGATTATTATTATTATTTTTGCCCTGCTTTTCTTAAATAATCCAAGGTACTAGGTAAGAGTATGGAACATCCCTGTCATGGACAACTATTGACTTGTAAGTGGAGAGGAAGGCAATGGCCAACCACCTCTGCTTCTCACTTGCCTTGGAAGCCCCTTGCTGGGGTTGCCACAAGACAGAAGCTAAGCAGGGTCAGTACTTGGATGGGAGACCACCAAGGAAGGCTCTGCAGAGGAAGGCCATGGCCAACCACCTTTGCTTCTCACTTGCCTTGGAAACCCCTTGGCTGGGATTGCCATAAATCAGAAGCTATGCAGGATCAGTACTTGGAAGGGAGACCACCAAGGAAGGCTTTACAGAGGAAGGCGATGGCAAACCACTTTTGCTTCTCACTTGCCTTGAAAGCCCCTTGCTGGGGTCGCCATAAGTCTTGGAAGGGAGACCACCAAGGAAGACTCTGCAGAGGAAGGCAATGGCCAACCACCTCTGCTTCTCACTTGCCTTGAAAGCCCCTTGCTGGGGTCGCCATAAGTCTTGGAAGGGAGACCACCAAGGAAGACTCTGCAGAGGAAGGCAATGGCCAACCACCTCTGCTTCTCACTTGCCTTGCAAGCCCCTTGCTGGGGTTGCCATAAGTCAGTTGTGACTTGACAGCACATAGCCCGATTAAATCAAACCTTGGAACCTAAGCAGGGTGGGTACTTGGAAGGGAAACCACCGACGAAGGCTCTGCAGAGGAAGGCCATGGCCAACCACCTCTGCTTCTCACTTGCCTTGCAAGCCCCTTGCTGGGGTCACCATAAGTCGGTTGCAACTGGATGTTAATTCACACACAATAGGGCTGCGGTGTACAAAATGGTTCACAAACTTCCCTGGATGAATGATTGGGAATGTAGTCTGTACTGCTGTGTATCACTTACTGTAAGCATGATCCTATTATGTAATTTCTGCACTGCTTCATCTGTCATGTGAATACTTATGTTACTCCTCAGAGAGCCAGTTTGGTGTAGTGGTTAGGAGTGCGGACTCTAAACCGGAAGAACCAGGTTTGATTCCCCACTCCTCCACATGCAGCTGCTGGTGTGACCTTGGGTCAGTCACAACTTCTCTCAGAGCTGTTCTCCCAAGGGCAGCTCTCTCAGCCCCACCTACCCCACAGGGTGTCTGTTGTGGGGTAGGGAAGGGAACGGAGAGTGTAAGCCGCTCTGAGGGTCCTTCGGGTAGTGAAGGGCAGGGTATAAATCCAATCTCCTCCTTCTCCTCCTCCTCCTCCTCTTCTTCTTCTTCACATAAGAACATAAGAGAAGCCACGGTTGGGTCAGGCCAGTGGCCCATCCAGTCCAACACTCTGTCACACAGTGGCTAAAAATACCAGGTGCCATCAGGAGGTCCACCAGTGGGGCCAGGACACTAGAAGCCCTCCCACCAAGCACCAAGAACCACCCCAAGCCTCACAAGCACCAAGAATAATAATAATTCTCCTCCTCCTCCTCCTCCTCCTCTCCTGCCCTTGCTGCTTTCTCTGATTACCCCCCATACAAAATGGCACCCTCATCCCTTTTTGCCCTCCTCCCTTTAAGCCGACACCCAATTAAAGACTCCTGGGAATGGATTGAGAGGACCAAGTAAAATGTGCCGCCTGCCTTCCATCATACGGCCCCACCCGGCTTCCCAGCTGCGGATTCCACACCTCCCAGCCGGCTGCACACACCTTTGCCAGGTTTCCCTGGCCTTCAGCCAAGGCCCCGCCTAGAAACCTCCACCTGTGGACCTGGCGCGCACCCCCCGCCAGCCCAAGGGAGACAAAACGACGGTTTGCATACAGTTCTGATTCAATGAAAGAGATACTGTTGGAACCGATTATCTGGTTATTGTCCAAACATCAGCTTAGGAGTCATCCTGGATGGTTTAATCAGCCTCTTTGTTAACCGCTATGCGGAGTTAAGACAGATATGATTTCAATGGGCTTCCAGCATGCCTGACTGGATAGGATCATGCTGTAAGGATATTCATATTTTGATTATAAGAACTCCGTAGACGTGCGTTTTCAGAACCTCTTGTATGCCCCAGTTCATTTCATTCAGGTTGAAATGTCTCCATTTTACCTATCAAAACTCCAGATTGGCACTGCACATAGATTCTACATTTCGGCTCCTTTAGATGGAAGATAACAGTTGCATTTATAATACTGGGTGGACTCATTCGCCAGGCTGTTCTCTGTGTGTGTGTGTGGGGGGGATAGGTAGGTAGGTAGGTAAAACTGCAATGTTCCCTCTAAGCTGTAGAGTCTTGTGAGCAAAAATTCTACTTTTTGAGCTACTGGCGTTAAAGTTGTGAGCGATTAGGGTAATGCATAAATTATTTTGCTCTGGAGCCCTCCTTCCTGAGCTAAGACAGAAATGTGTGAGCTGGAGGCTAAAAAACTGAGCTACACAGGTAGGTAGGTAGGTAGATAGATGATAGATAGATAGATAGATAGATAGATAGATAGATAGATAGGAAGATGATAGGTAGGTAGGTAGGTAGGTAGAAGGATGATAGATGATTAAGAAGAAGAGATTGGATTTATACCCCGCCCTTCACTACCCAAAGGAGTCTCAGAGCGGCTTACAATCTCCTTTCCCTTCCCCTCCCCACAACAGACGCCCTGTGAGGTAGGTGGGGCTGAGAGAGCTCTGACAGAAACTGCTCTTTTTCAAGAACAGCTCTGACAGGACTATGGCTTGCCCAATGTCATCCAGCAGCTGCAAGTAGAGGAGTGGGGAATCGAACCCGGTTCTCCCAGATTAGAGTCCACGCACTTAACCGCTACACCAAACCGTCTCTCTGATGAAATGGATGATAGGTAGATAGATGATAGATAGACAGACAGACAGACAGATCTACCTATGTTCTGTCCTGACCTTGATGGCCCAGTGTTGTGAGATCTAAGAAGCTAAACAGAATCAGCCTTTGGATTAGTACTTGGATGGGAGACCACCAAGGAAGTCCAGGCAGGGCTCTTTTTGTAGCAGGAACTCCTTTGCATATTAGGCCACACCCCCTAATGTAGCCAGTCCTCCAAGAGCTTACAGAGCTCTTCTTACAGGAGCTACTATAAGCTCTTGGAGGATTGGCTACATTAGGGTGTGTGTCACTTAATATGCAAAGGAGTGCTACAGGATGCTACACAGAGGCAGGCAATGACTAACCACCTCTGATCATCTCTGCCCTGCCCTGGATAGCTCAGGCTGGCTTTATCTCATCAGATCTCAGAAGCTAAGCAGGGTCAGCCCTGATTAGTACTTGGATGGGGGACCACCAAGGAAGCCCAGGGTTGCTACACAGAGGCAGGGAATGGCAAGTCACCTCTGTTAATCTCTCGCTTGAAAACCCTGCAGGGTCACCAGGTTGGCTGCCAGCCGACAGCACTTTTCACCGCCACCCATGTTCCGCCTGGTCATTTGGCCGTGTTATCTGTCCATTTGCAGAGGTCTCCAGAGACAGACCAATGGGAACGTCCCCGTTCAGAATTCACGTTGTGGAGGAAGATGGGAGAAGGATGTTTTGGAGAGGTGTGGGAAGGAATGTGGAAGAACACAGTGCCAGTGGCCATCAAAATCATGAAGCAAGGTTTGTGGGACGGGAAACCTGTCGTCGGTTGTGAAACTCGTTGTCTATTCAGTCTCTTGATCGCCTCTTTCCTAACAAGTAGCTCACCAGAGTCTCAGGACCTTGCTAAAGAAGGAAACTTACCCTGGAAATTTGCTTCCAAGAGTCTTCACTAGATTGCTGACTGCACCATGAGGAGCTCTTTGCGTTCTTGTGTTGAGATGGGAGCTCATTCTGTCATGCGGCACCCGGGTCTCGAACTGCTGAACTACTGACCTTCCACAGCCTGCAGTTCAGCGTCTTAACCACTTGAGCCACCGCAGCATAAAAACCTGCAAGTTAAATCTGCAGGGAGATATGTGAGACATAAAGTGAGATAATAACGAATCAACCACTAGAGGAAGCAAAACACCTCCGAAACGGGGGGGGGAATCTAAGGAAACAGCAACCCACAAGCAATGAGAATGCAGGAAAGCTCAAAAGTTAGGCTGACCAACTAGGAGTAGGAAGTCCAAGATTCAAATATCTCAATAATTTTGGGCCGCTCACTCTTCCTCCGCTTGGTCTTCCTCTTTGGGTTACTGGGCGCATACAACGAGGAATGGCAGAACTACGCACCATGCTCTAATGTCCTTGTTTATTTTAGTTACGTACCACTTTCCAACTAAAAGACCCAAGGCAGTTCCCAGCACAGTAAGATACAATGAGATCAATCAAAAGCTAATCAAGTGCAACTCTCACTACACATTCTAACTCACTCGGTTCTCGCTTATACCCATAAATTAAACTTTGTTGGTCTTGAAGGTGCCACTGGGCTCAAACTTAGTTCTCACATCTGCTTGTTCTCTTTTGGTGTAGTGGTTAAGTGCGTGGACTCTAATCTGGGAGAACCGGGTTTGATTCCCCACTCCTCCACTTGCACCTGGCTGGATGACCTTGGGCACGCCATAGTTCTGATAAGAGCTGTCCTTGAAAAAGAGCAGTTTCTGTCAAGAGCTCTCCTAGCCCCACCTACCTCACAGGGTGTCTGTTGTGGGGAGGGGAAGGGAAAGGAGTTTGTAAGCCGCTCTGAGACACCTTTGGGTAGTGAAGGGCGGGGTATAAATCCAATCTCCTCCTCCTCCTCCTCCTCCTCCTCC